AGATCTCAAAATTTCCGTCGAAAACTCAATTTTTGGATGCCGTATGGCGATTTTCATTTACATTCAAGGGTGGGGCAGTATAACCAAAATATCGCTCAAACTACCCTAAAAAATAGGAAAGTATACAAATAACATCTAAAATTTTAGCAGTTTCTATCAAATTCGATGCAACTTTGAAACAAAATGGTTTATGACATCCAATTAAATAGTTTTCAGACGTTACCCCCCCATTCTAATCAAAATCAACCTTTCAAAATCACCCCTGAATCATCATTTCGACAAATTGACAATTATTCTAAAACAAATAGAGTAAAAAAATTTAAATAGAGTTCACAGGCCGTGAAATTCTTTCAGAATATATTTCAATCAAATTCACCCCCATAAGGATCATAACCAATCAATAAAAATCATTCCCTACACATCATTTAGACAACTGGGCAATTATTCACAGGCAATTAAACATAAAACTTTTTTATTAAATCTACAGGCCATAGAATTCTACCAGAATGTATTTTGATCAAATTCACCTATGATGATCAAAATCAGATATGTATTGCCTGTGATCACCATAAATATAATTCTAAGTCACATGGTACAAGAATGTGTCAGGTTTTAGAAATGTTGATTAGGGGACGATTTTTGAGGGTTTGTTACGATCATCATGAGGTTGAATTGGATCAAAATATTCTGATAGAATTTTATGAAAGAGATTCACGGCCCATGAACTTTATTTAAATTTTTTTACTCTATTTGTTTTAGAATAATTGTCAATTTGTCGAAATGATGATTCAGGGGTGATTTTGAAGGGTTGATTTTGATTATAATGGGGGGTAACGTCTGAAAACTATTTAATTGGATGTCATAAACCATTTTGTTTCAAAGTTGCATCGAATTTGATAGAAACTGCTAAAATTTTAGATGTTGTATACTTTCCTATTTTTTAGGGTAGTTTGAGCGATATTTTGGTCATACTGCCCCACCCTTGAATGTAAATGAAAATCGCCATACGGCATCTAAAAATTAAGTTTTCGACAGAAATTTTGAGATCTCGCAAAGCATTTTATCTTCAAAAATAAAATGTGCAGAGGGATGGCTATTTTGAGAAAGAATGCCCCATATAAAAAACAAATTCTTTTGTAAAATTGAAGAATTACATACTATAATATTACATTATATTACTTATGTTACAAATTTATATCATCTACTTTACATATCTCGTATAGAGCAGAACAGTCGTGGACTTTAAATTTTTTAAAACTGCAATGATAGCCATTTCGTCGATCAAGTATTGTATTACTTTTACGACAGAAATTCCATTTTGTATCCGCGATTCTGTACTACAATGTAAATAAACTAATTTGCATCGCGAGCCACTTACACGTGGTCGCGCAAAAGAATCACGCGTTTGCGTGTACAAATATATGCAAACGTAATCAGTGTCGCGAGTCTCTTATAAGTTAGGGCGCGCGATATTTTTCCCGGAAACAAAGCCCACTAACAAATTTGTAACCAGCTAATTTGTCAGAAACTTTTTACTCGGCATATTATCGCACATTACCGCATATTTTGACGCTCGAGTCTTATAATGTCAACGCAAACATTGAACAGCAAAAAAAGGCTCAAAAACATTTTCCTATACGAGTGGATAATTGCATCACGAGAAACATGTCGCAAATGTAGTGAAAAAGAGATGCTAAAGTGTATTTGTTTCAAAAATTTTGAGTTGCGCGCAATTATTTGATTCGCGTTTTTAGCTTTCTAAGAGCCACCGCACAAGACTCGTACGGTCACGTATCGCAACGTAACGTGAGCCAACGCACAAGAAACGTATTGGTTACGGCCGTTACGGCGTTATACATTTCTTGTGCCTTGATCTACGTTACGTTACCATGCGAGAGCTTGATATGCGAAGGCTCTAACCGATACGTTTCTTGTGCGTTGACTCACGTTACGTTACGCTACGTGACCATACGAGAGTCTTGTGCGATGGCTCTAAGCGTTGCGTCGCGTCTAAAAGCTGCTTTTTCGGATCGTTTGAAGTCGGCAATCAACTAAATTGCCTATCAACGCCTGAGTAGCCCGCTCACGTACTTCCCTTCCTCGCATTTTCTTCCTTTTTCCATCACACATATGCCTTTCTTTTTATTATTATTTGATGTATTGTCAGTATTGTCACTGTATAGTTAATTTTTCTAAACGAGAATTCTTCTACGTTTTCCTCCCTTTCTTTTATTGTAACTCGTGACTGTCAATACTTCATGACTATCATATGTTATTGTTGGTTTTATTAGTCTTGGGGGGGGAAATATTTTAATTTTTTTAAATTACAAAACATAAGTTGATCAATTATAAGTTTTAACTAATCGAAAGTCTAACCGAAAAGAAAAAGAAGGCGCATATATTTTTTTCATTTTAATATAATTTTTATTTATAAGAATTATATAAAATTATGTATATGATATATGATTATAAAAAATTTGTACACGCTTAAGTAACTTTAAATATTAACATTATTTTGTAATTTATTGTTCGTCCTTTTCAGGATTTTTCCTGAATTATATAAAGAGATAAGAAAGTACTGTATAGTTAAACTACAATTAAATTAACATTAGTAAGGTAGCTCTTTAAATAAGGAAATTAGCTTTTATATAAATATTTGAACTTCTTATTATGACTCTGAATTCTTTTTCAAAGTCTATGTACAATGTTTATTTATTTATTTTATGTAATCTCTCACCCATTTTACAGAGCACACACAAAGCAGTTTTACAGTTAACAAAAATTTTAGATAAATTAATAAAAGTGCACGATAAAAGAGTGTAAATGTTGTGTATTTATAGATGTCGTTTTACAAATTTGAGCTTGCATTTTGATCAAAGTTCGATATAATTGTTATTAAAAACGAATTAAACGATTAATTAACATAACGTAGTGAGATCTTATCCTGTGCTCTCGTCTTTAAGTCTACATAAGTTTTAAGACAAGAACGAACGAATGAAGCACACCGAATAAATGCTGTAAGAGAAGGTGCTAGAGTGACATTTGAATGGAACGGCAGAACCTTTGTGCTCTATCTGGAATCCGACACCCGAAAATCGTTCTCAAAATTCGTTCTGCGCCGCAAAATCTCCGACGCTTAAAAATAATGACATGATTCTTAATAATATTAGAGCAGTTTGGTGAAATCAATTATATACATCTTCTACTATATATATTATAATATACAACTTTAGATAACAGGATAATTTTTGTAAAAATGCATATATGTGTGTATTATATACGTATGTGCATACATACCTACATACATATACAACATATACGCCGCGTATATGGATATAATACATAACGTAATATATGCGTTGCATACTTTAAAAGAGTAATCCTGTATATATACACACGTTAAATTTACTGCATACATTTAAATTTATGTAATTATTAATAATAATAAATATAAATATTTAAATAAATTTTTATAATCCGTACACATTATTTTATAAAACTGTTTCTATTTATTTTATTTATATTTTTTAAATATACTTGGAAATATGAGTTTTATATTGTCCTTAATATATTGTTACACAAATGAAAAAAATTTATTTTACATGTATGTAAATGATATAGTAATACATAATTATATAATTTATCATAGTTTTACGTTTTTATCTTTATTATTTAATATCTTTTTAATCAGATTAATAAATATTAATAAATGAGTAAGATATTTAATGTTTCCGTTATACACATGTTTTAATGATTTCAATATTATATAGTTAAAGTATCGATGTCATCGACGCAGGTTGAGAACAGTTTGGTAGACGGAACGGACAGCCAGTTTTGTCGACGCTCTTTGTGTTTTGGTGAGACATTGCAGACCTGCCTGACACTCAACTCATTATACCACTAATTATTTATAACGTTTGGGATTATTCTGAGGAAAATAATCAATTCCCACAGCCCATTTCTCTTTATCCCTTCCCGCTATAGACATTTCATTGAGGGTTTCGTTAATTGCATGCTATTGAATATCTTTACCAAAACTACATTTAATTAAATGCGGAAAAGAGCAATATTATATAGATGTAAAAGAAAAGAAAAAAGTTTCTTTATGAGCGCGCTAATTATTTGTCGCGTGCTGCAAAGGAAATAGTTTCCAAGTTACAACGAATGATATAATTTGACTTTTGGGCTGCTAAATGCATAAGGGAAATTCATACTTAATTTAGTGGCAAATCAACATATCCGGGAAATAAAAGTTTCTGCTTTGATCGAGTGTCGGACACTCGAATGTACTCGATTAGCGCTTGTGTGCATTGAAAATGTAAGACAGCTATGCAGCTGCCCGACCGAATATCGTTTTCCCAAAAATTCCCCCAGATTCTTGGCACATACAATGTTAACGATGATGCGCGACAAAGGCGTGTGTCAATTTTCGGTAACTTGATCTTGAGTGGCTTTCTGTTAAGTGATAGCTATAAGTGGCAGTTAAGTGCTCGTTTCACGCTAGAACGACGATACGCCTATTAATTTACTTCGGTGTACGTGATAAAATAAAGGGTCATAAGTTCAATCTTGTTTACAATTAGCAAGTGTTTCATGGAACCCATGTTGACGAATATATATCGTGTAAGAAATATTGGTAAGACTTAACAAGAATATTAAGTTTAGACTTTTCATAAAATAATTAGAAACTTCTGAAGATTATAAGACAAAAAAAAATAAAGACTTTCAAGGAAAATAAGTAAAATAAATATTTTTTCTCTTCGCTTTTCAGCAGATATAAATTGACTTATTTGATACGCGGTTGCATACCTTATAAATTATAAATTATAAATTATGTATAACAATAAGAGAAAAAATTACCGATATTTAGTGCATGGTATTCTATTTTATAGAGTATTTTATCAAATATTTTTCCACAGGCGAAACATGAAATTATAAGCTTTTTTAGACTCGAATGGTTGCTACTTAACAGAGGTTTAAATTCAAAATCATCGACTTACCATGAGGTGGGGTGTGTTGAGTCGGGCTATGTTGATGATGATTCGTGGTAACAGCCGTACCAGGAAGTACATGCTGCGCGTGTGCCACAGGATGCAGGTTGACGCCGGGCGGCGAAGCCGGAAGTTGGCTTGATTGATGTACCTGATGATGCGGTACATGGTGGGCTGGGTGGGGATGGGGTGGCGGTAGAAAAGCGGCTGCCACGGCCGCCTGCGCATTCAGATAGGCCATCCTTGAAGCCGTAAGATTGCCCAGATTCCCTAGATTTCCCAGATTCCCCAAATTGCCTAAATGATTTAGGCTGGGCATGTATTCCCATAATTTCGAGTGATGAGGCGCAGCCGGGGCATAGGAAACAGCCGAAACTCCGGCGGGTGGCGAGCCCTGCGGGGAGCCGCGATCGGTACCACTTCTGTTTCCGGTACCATCCAAACCTAACAGCTCCTGAATCGCGAAAGCCGATCGCTGCTGCTGCTGCGGCATCTTCGTGTCCTTTTAAACGGGGATCGCACAAACTCAGAGCGACATACTCAATCGCGTATTCACAAGAACCAAGTGACCATTGATCTTTGATCCACAAGTTTGACAATGGGGCATGTAAAGGTGCTGCAGGCAAATATTGAGCCGCGTATAGAGCCACCAGCTAATGTCAGAGGACATTCGGGGAACTTAACTATAGTCGACTTATCAACCGTGTATTTTAATTGTTTAAATTACACGAAGCGCGCGATTAGGTCTTCCAGATTGATCGTTGTTCTGTTTCCTCGGAAGATTCTTCTTCCGACGTTTATAGGAACTCAATCAAAAAGAATCGTTGCACATTTCTTGGATATTTAACTGGAATTCTCAAATTTAAACACAGAAACCAGCAAAAAACAATACAAATTTTCTAATCTGGGTTACAAGACTAGTATCATTATCATTCTCAGGGTAATTTTTCCGTTTTCCAAAATTGCCGGTATTAACGAAGTAGCATTATCAAATCTGATAGGCCTTGACATCACTCTGCTTCCGGCGATTATTTCCATACGTGCATGCTTTTTCGGAATTTTATGTCTTTGTTGTAAGGCCGTTTAACATTAGATAGATTTACAATCACATTGTATGCAATTGCCACGAAGAAGCCCAAGCATCTCTAACAAGCTTTTAAATAGCTTTTTTTCTACATGTGTGTGTATATATATGTCTATGAGAACTAAAATTCCATAATAAATATTTGCAACATATATTAGCGTGCTCAATGACGACAGAATATGATTCTATTTAACTTCGTTGTAAAAAATGAAGGATGTCGTTAGCAAACAATTTTTCTCATTCGACATTTGATAACCGTCGGCAAGATAGATGATACACTTCTGTCAAACGAAACGCCGAGTCCTACTTACTCTCGCTCAAATCGCACGATCTATGACTTTTACTTGTTCCTCTATCCTTCACTTCGATGGAATGAATGTTTTCGTTGTGATCAGGTACAGATTGCTCTGTTTGTTGCTTGTTGCGACACTGTTCCGTTGCGCGTACACGCGCGAATCTTTTCTAATTCTAATTTAACTTGAAACTGCGTCTCTCTTTTGGCATATAGAACAGTATGAACACTAAACAACACACGCTGAGAATATCGCGTCTAGTTCACTCGTGAAAGCACAAGCAAGCTTGAGCAAGTTCGTCTATTCTTTGCAGAATTGTTGCTTTCTTCGAGACAAGATTAATCTGAAGAACAATTCTGACGAAACTTGATTTTTCAGGCCCAACTAGAATGATACTAACGCACCAAAGCCTGATGACTATTGATTTTGGGAAAACGTATAAACAGAATGATCGGGAAGTGATCGATGTTGCTTCAAGACTTTCGACAGAATTCCTCCGGTAGAATTATCAGCCTCCTCGACAGAATACGTGTCTCGTATACATTTCTATTATTCTGGACGCTTTTATTGCGCCTACTACTATCCATACACGAAGATATAGTCCACCGTCGGCAGTTGATATAACAAACGATTAAATCAAGTTCTTAGGTCTTTTCGAGTCACAGAATAATTTCCGAGTATCGCATTTTGTCGGTGTGCGTTGACGGAACACGCGCAAAGAACTCGTTCTTCAGTTAACAGACCCGGCCGCGACTTCGTGAATGAGAAGAAGCGTGATGTGTGACGAAAACGGTATAGATAGGATGTCGGGAAATGGTCCCAGTAAGAGCAGCCCGTGTGTGTCCGCCGTCGTGGCGCAACCGTGTCGTCGTCGCGGCGTTGGACAACTGAGCCGTCGAATAACGCGGGGTTGCTTGACGGGTGCGCGACGGGTACGAAGAAGGGAAACCCCCGGAGGCGGCTGCACGAATACTACATGCACCCATACACATACCCTTTACGCGCAGAGGGTGGTGTTTGCCCCATCCGCGCGCACAACTCGTCAACTCGCGCCTGGCCCCTCTCTTCCTCTATGCGCACCGACTCGCTCCCCATCTCTCCCTCTTTTGCCCTCCGTTCTGCGACCCCTCGTAGACCCAGGCGACAAAGGCGCCTCCGCTACTTTATGCGTTGGCAGTGGCCGTCTCGTATCGCGGATTGGTCGGCTTTTTGAGACGGCCAGCCGAGTAGACATAGCCCTAGTTACCAACGAGAAGGTGGGGTCTAGCAATGTCGACGCCTCAACGTGGCTACGCCTACGGCGGAACGGTTCACCATGGAGAAAAGAGGGACTTTTCGTGCTCAATCATGGATACTTGGAGAGCACGAGCGATGCCAGGCAGCTGGGAATAAACGTGAACCTCAAACATGAACCTGGGACATGTATCAAATATATAAGCCTGTCTTTGATTGTCTGTGACTGTCTGATATTTTTCTTCAACCTTAATTACTTATTATATATATTATTATTGTGCCAATATTTTTATGACAACACGTCTACTTGAATATATTAATTTATTGATTTTTTTTCCTGGTTAATATGTTATATGAAGCAGATCTGACTTCTTAAACTATGAGGATGACTTTGTAAGATCTGTAACAATAAGATACCGGTAAATAATACCTTTCCTCCATATTCTAATGACTAATTAGAAGCTCTGTGAGAATAAAAAATATAATAATGTTTACTTCATCCATTCTGATTTTTCATACACATGTACGTATAATGATGCGCGGAAAGAGACCCGTCAAATAATATTCTTAATACAGTGCGTCACTTTGGACAGATAAATAATTTATTAATTTGTTATTACAGCGCAGGTCTGATAATAGTTAGATTTATTAGATTATGAATTCATGATATAACGAAATTGTTTATTTAATTAATTGATAACATGAGCTGAAAATGATGTGGATCATATTGAATTCATTGTACTGCCATTATATCATAAGCTATCGGTATTTCCAGGTAATTATAAATGTACGCTCTCTCGTTTCTATTGTTAAATAATTCATCAGTAATACTACAATTACGAATATCAAATGATTGTAATATATTTCATTTTAAAGGCACTTTTCATATATGCATAACATCAACTTCAGCATAACCATAATCTCTATCCAACTTGTTCTGTAACTTTCTCGAATGCAGCTATTTCTCTTTATTTTAATAACAGATAGTTTTTAAATTGTTTCAGATAGGTTTACGACTTATATTAATTATGAATTTTATGTCTAATATTTATTTGAATTTACAATACACGTGCAGCTGTACATATTTATCTTCTGCTATTTATTATAATATTTACATAATATAATTTCAATCTTATACTATTATGTAATGTCTCGAAAATATAAAACAGTTTAATAATTACAAACAATTTATAATATTGTTTATTTTTATTACGTAGATTAGTAGATGAAAAAACAGAGCAAATAATAATGCAATATTGCTACACCAATGTAAGAATATATTGTACGCCAAGTATTAATAATAATGCTTTAATTGCACAAACTATTTTTTAAATAAAATTAAATTATAGTAAATATTTATCTTGTATTTGATACGATACATATTTGCACTACGTATTAAAATTATATCTGCGAAAAATATATTTATATAAATATTATTCAATTTATATTAATATTTTGTTATCATATATCAGCACATAAAAAAAACTATGTCTGAGTATTTAGCATCGTTGATCTACACTACATTTTGCAAAGCAACAATTGCGGCGTTGTGAAACCGGCTTTCGTTCGGAGCCTTTATTAACACTGTGGGAGTGGTCTACATACCGGCCAATCAGAATCCGCCACTTTCAACCCTCATTGGCCAGGACACAAATCGATTTATAACTCACTCCGATGGTGACGAGCGTGGATATACGCCCTTAAAACCGTTCTGCTTAAGGTCGACTCTTCTCGCAAGCCTGTCGTGACTTCCAACACCGCCAATTCAACTGTAGGTAGGTGGCGGTGAGCTTGGGGTAGCAACTACTGGCAAGAGGTGGTGGTAAATGGGAAGAGTGGAAATTTCTGATCCCCGACGACGTTCTCGATAACGTCGGAAAGTGTTTTTTCAAAAGTCTCTGACACGCTTAGTGGTCGATCTTTAATCAAAATTGAGCTATTTAAAAAAAACAAAATTCTTCTTTCATTTCTTTATCTAACTCTTTCTGTCTTTGTTTTCCTGTTGTTATGTCCTTTCCGTTTCTAATTTCTACTTTTTGTTCTTTACTCTTATTCTTTTATAGGTACGTACCGTATTATCTACATATATTTTTGTTTTATCTTATTTATCTTTTATATTTTTCAAACTTGCCAGAATTTTCTCTACATAAATATAAAATGTTTTTATTATGAATTTTGTATCTTATCATAAGGCAAGTAATTAGAATCTATTGATAAATTATTTTTTGAAACAAAAGTTGTATTTACACAAATCTATTTACACAAATATACATGAAACCTTAATATTTTACAAACATAAATTGAATTTAGCAAATATATAGAGGATATATGGCTCATTTTAATTTATCCACTCAAATATCTCAAAACTCGTAAGTTTTAGAAAGAAACTTTTTAAACAAAAGTTGCTTGGTTCTGAGGGAGAAAGAAGATAGAAATATATAAGTTAGACCTCAAGTGGCGTCGTTAAGGACATATCAATGTCACATTGAACTTTTTAAATTGAAACCTCTATTTTTATTACATATTCTTGTAGCCCTTGTCAAAATATTATGACATAATATAAAATATAAAATATCTCGTAAAGTATTCGCAATGACTTTACCTGGATTGCAAATGTGAAAATTAATATTATTATTCGACTTTTTTCCCTGATTGCCGATTTTCCCCTCTCCCCTCGATTTGATCCCTGACTTAACCTTAACGACGTCAAGATCTAACAAATATTCCTATCTTCTTTCCCCTTCAGAACCAAACAACTTTTATCTAAAAAGTTTTCTTCTTAAACTTACGGGTTTTGAGATAGTTGAGTGGGTAAATTAAAATGAGCCACCCTGTATATGTATATGTGTATGTGTAAAAAATTAGAATAAATTTGTTATAACAGTAATAAGAGTAGTGTACAATGTATTATAAATAAATAAAGTTATATGTAACATTTTTTTAAATAATGCCATAAAAATAATGTTTATTTTTCCTCAAATTAACGCGCGCAAGATGACATCTCCAGTGGTATTAAAACGCTGTATTTAACGTGTACTAAAATGAACACAAAAAGCAATTGTAACGTAATATAATAGCACAAAGTTGAACGTGTAAATAATAGACAAGAGTTCTGCATGCCTCTTTAGAGCTCCAGAGAGATGTCTCGGACTCGCAGCTTTGTTTCGCTGAAAAATCTTCGACTTCTCCATTCATTCTCTCTCAGTCTAAGAAAAGTACAAGAGTTAGACTCTCTTTTGCGACTCTCTTCCTTATTCGTTACTAGCATCAAGGGATTATTGTATACTTTGCGTTCGCGAAAGCACTACCTCGCAACAGGAGGATCTTTCGTTGATATTTAGCTACTGCTTAAATGTACCTTCGGCATTTTAACACATAATACATAATTTGTTATATTGTCATGTATTCAAACCGGTATAATTTTAACAAGTTCGTATTACCATGATAACAGCATGCAAAAATGTGAATTTATTCTCTGAATTTATTCGTAATAATAGATGTGAGAGAGGAGATAATGCGTCGTTATATTATTTAAAGTATATGCTATATTATCCGAGCTAATTTCATATACACACATGAACACTCGATATTGACTTATATCATATAAATAAATAATAAAAGGAAATGATAGAAGATACATTAGATAACGGAAGATGTGAAATAATAATCAATGTTCTATTAACATCGTATTTCTATTAATTTTGTACTTTTTGTTGCGCAATTTTAATTTTCAATGAAAGTAAAATTATTTGTAGGTTTATATTTAAACATAAATTAACAATATCTAAACGTTAGTGATGGTTGTGCATTTTCTAAAATTTAAATGCTTTAAAAATATTACTTTTAAAATTTAAATGCTTTAAAATTATAATTAATTTTTTTAAATTTAAATGCTTTAAAAATATTACTTTTAAAATTTAAATGCTTTAAAATTATAATTAATTTTACATTTCTCAACAACGTTTGACTCGAATTTCCTGACATATAAAGTAAATTATCCTGCTGTCGTAATTAGATAAATTAACAGACCGTGAGCGGAAGTACCGCACGAAAGATGAAGCTATATGCTTGAAGAAATAAAAGGAGAGTACAGTTAGCTTAAAGCTACTACTGTTATCTAATTTATGAATTATAAGACACAATTATCTATAAAGCATTATTTTTAGCTAGCACAGTTAATATCAATGGTCAGAATTGCATTTAAGATGCAATTTCTTTATTAAAGACATTATTTTATCTTAATATGCAATACGCATATCTTATAGATATGCTTCAAAAACTCCATCAATTACAGAAAATTTTATTATTGTATTAATTTAGTTATCTGCTAGACATACTAACATAAGTAAACGAAACTCAATGCATACCAATAACGTAAAGATGTAAAGTAAGCAAAAAATTCTAATATTTATTTTTAATTTAATCTTTGTTTTTACAACCATAACTATTTGCTTTCAGAGCTATATATTATTATAACTTTATAAATAATCCGAGAATTTTAAATTTAAGTTGTATCAATAATTTGTCCTTAAAAAAATCTGTATTTGTCCGTATTCGCTGTATCCAATGTAATTCTACAAGAACCCTTGATCACTAAAATGAGAATTCGAGTGAATCGGTCGCCTGTGATCCCCCCTACTAAAGGAGGTTTAAACTTTAAAAGAGCACAACCTACTTCACTAAGAAGATATTTGCTGCTCTATACCGCACATACACAGTCTCGTGTTTC